TAACAGAAATTGTAGCAAAATATGAGTCAAAAAATCATATGAATTCACGAATCGATTGCAAACAAAATGAAGTTTCAATTAAATCTCACTTTTGATTAGTTTTTATAAATTGTTTCTCAAATTATTTTATGTATTGTTTCTGTAATCTCATTGTAAATCCATTTATGAGTTGTTGTTTTCACACACTTTTTAGTTTTTATTAAACCATTTTTATATTTCATTACAAAATGCTATCTTTTTATTGATTTTTGATTCAAAAAGTTTAGTTCACTTTATACGAGATCTGAGTTTTGTTTACAGGATTTGCGTTCAAATGTTAATCCTCTGTCACTAATGCTATACTTATATTGAGTTCAAAACTTGTCTTAAATTACAATCGATTTGACAAATAATCTACTGTTATATCTATGACTAAAACAATGAATACTTGTGTTAAACAAAAAAGTATTAAAGTATTTGATGTAATGTTTCCATAAAATATTCGCATAAAGTTTCCGGAAATCAATAAAACAAATCAATTGAACAAAACTTGTGTTTTAATTATTATAAAATTCCATACTATTAGATATTTAATAGATTTGTTAAAATCTAATATTTGGTAAATTCCATATAATTATTAAATTTCAAATAAATTTCCAAACTATTAGTTATTCAATGAATTCATAGACTTTTATATTTAAGGCAAACAGTCATTTTAATTCACATTACCGTACAATGACTTACAATAAGTAGTCATAGAAATGATTGAATCGTATATTTATAATACATTTATTGTCTTAATTACAAAACGATTGTCACATAAACTCTGAATAGAAAAATGGCACAAATGGTCACAAAATTATTGAAAGTCATAGAAAAATAATTTAAACACAAATTAATTAAATACAAAATACTTGAACACAATTTGATTGAATAAATACGAGACAATACGCTGTGTTTGTCCTATAGGTATGCCGTCCACCCGACGTACATAACCCCCAGATTGTTAACATCCGTCGCTTCCTATAAACACAGAAAAAACAATACATTTAAACAATTATCTCAAACACACCACTCATTCAAATACTTTGATAATGGAGTCGACCTGACCCTCGACCGACAGGGGAACGCCTTTCGGTAGATTCTTCTCATTACGGGCCGGTATGCCATTAAGTCGGGCCTCAATGTTGAACACAATTTTCTCGGCCTTTAAAAA